ATGATGATGATGATGATGGTGATGATGATGATGATGATGATGGTGATGGTGATGATGATGATGATGATGATAGTGATGGTGATGATGATGATGGTGATGATGATGATGATGATAGTGATGGTGATGATGATGATGGTGATGGTGATGGCGATGATGATGATGATGATGGGAATGAAGATGATGATTTTGATGGAAGTAATGGTAATAATGTTAAAGATGATGATGATATAGATTAAGAAGATACTGAAATGAAATGATAGAGATGGCTGATGATGATGCCATAATGTACAGTGCTGTTTTTGATGATGATGATACTTTATCAAAACAGGGTGGTTAGAATTACATTGAAGTAACTTTTTCTAGTGCCTAGACAACCTTCTTACAAATCAAATTGGATATCTCTTAAAATCAATTCAGAATCCTACAAATATACTTACCCAAAGTGAGTCTATTTCTTGAGAACTCCCAGTCGGCGCACAAGGGTAGTTTATGTGTCTGTTCCTGTAATGTCCTATTGGGGTCCAACTTCTTGATATAATCCGGCATTGGAGGTAAAGTCAAGATGTAAAATCCACCATAGAGCTTCTTTCTTCGGTACAATACTGCAATAATGACCAGCAGCAGGAGAATGACGAGACTTCCAGAAACAATGATGGCAATCAAGGCAGGCATGGAGACTACTCCTGGACCAGGGCGTTTGATTCTTTGGAACACTGGTGGATCTGGGATGGAATTTCAATAAATAGTGAGAACAAAATATCATCATGCAGAAAGAAATAGAAGCTTGAAGTAACGATGTAAAAATCAATAGTCAGATCTTTAGATATTTAGTCCCTTTTTTTCAAGAGAGAGAGAGAGAGAGAGAGAGAGAGAGAGAGAGAGAGAGAGAGAGAGAAAGAAAGAAAGGAATAAACGAAAAAGAGAGAGAGAAAGGATCACAAGAATGGTGGTAATGCATTTTCAAAGGAATTAGTTCTAAAGGGTGCTGAAGGCTCGATCTCTCGCTCCAGTACTTCACGGTTATAATCTGTTCAATCGGAAACTGGGGCGAGATGACATAGCTCTAGCACGCAAAGTAGGTTGACAGCCAGTTACTGAAACCAAGTATTTCTCTGCTTACTTATATCACGATCTTTGTAATTCTGACCCAGAGCGTTTGTTGCTATACATCGGTACTTCCCGTGATGTTCAGTCCTTAATTCAGAGAAAAACAAAGTACTGCTTCCCATCTTCCAACTGGAGATATTGGGTAAAGAAACGAAGCTGCCAGTTTCATTTTCTTTCAGCCAGCGAACATGTGGTGTTGGGTTTCCTGTGGCAAGACAGCGAATCTTCACTAAACGTACTGATTCGACTGATTCGTGAAGCTCTTCGTCAATCAACGTGACAGTGGGTGGAGCTGTTCAAGGATAATGAAACAGTATGATGAAAAAATATCTACCGATTAAATAAAGCTACTAAGATTAAGATGAAACATTGAACTTCTCTGCATGAGCCGAACCTAATAACATCATTGAAGACAGCCTTGTTATCCATTGTTTCAATCAGGTTCGGCTCATGTGAAGTTCGACGTTAGACCCGAGCCTTAGATTAAGGTGTAACGTCCAACTCGTCAAGTAAACCCCACAATAATGCAACACAACATTCTAAGCCAATAAAATGTCGTACCTTGTACGTTCAAATACGCTTTTCCATCATCTTCATCAATACTATTTCTCGCCTTGCAAGAATACCAGTCCGTGTTGTTGTATTTGGCATTACAAATCACTAGAGAATGTGTTTGTGGCTTGTTCAACTCCGAGGGATAGACATAAAGATAGAACCCGTTCACCCTTGAACTACATTCACTCAAAGAAGACAGCACCGTTGTCTCTAATAGTTTGCCCGCCTTGAACCAAGTGACAGCCGGTGAGGGGTGACCGCTGACCGTACAGTTAAAGGACACGTGGTTCGCTTCGTTTGTTGTGAGGTTTCCAATAGTTACGGAAGGTGGACTCACGGCTGGAAGAAAAGATGATAATACAGGTTGGAATAAGGAAATAGAAGATCAATTTTCATCTTGGGAGTGGATTAATCCCACGGCGCCATCTATGTTTATTTTCACGAGCATAAAAACCCTGCGTAACCTCATCCTGAAGCGCTTGAATGCGAGGGCAAGCGGGGAAAAAGCTTTGATCGTCATGGAGTGATGTAACAACATGCACCACATTGTAGGTAAAAAACAGAATTTTTTTTTGGAAAATGAAATCACTTGTCACATTGCATTCTTATTCATTCAGAGGTTGAGGGGAAACTGGGTCGAGTTGGCATAAGAGTGCATTGTGGGGCTGCTGTACAAAACATATTTCCAAGATGGCGTCTATTTTGTCACCTAAAACAGTCCCACACTATTTCGCCATCTCGACCCAGTTTTTCACCTCAACCTCGGAATTCCCAACATGATCATAGATGTCCTGTAATCCTTCCATTAAATATTCTCCTTACCAAGAACTTTCAAAGTCGTCCATGTACTTTCTTTTTTCTTGTCACTTTCAGTGGCTTCACATGCGTATCTCCCAGAATCGTTCATTCGAGCTTCAAAAATCTGAAGATGAGTTAAGTATTTTACTGAATCCTCGCTAAATGTGATTCGAACACGCGAGGTGTTGTTTATCAGGTGGTCGTCACCGTCACGCCATGTGGGATGACTATCGAACGACTTTAAGGCCTGACAAGTCATTGTGATGTTTTCATATTCATCTCTGTATTTGATCTTCTCTCCTTCGATGTTCAATTTCTTAACAAAATTGCCTGGAAAACAATGAAATTCATTGGTGAGAAATCGTACGATTTTGTAAGACTTCTTACTATTAAGGCAAGAACGACGATGAGAACTTTCGTCACTGAAATAGCGTACCAAAGATGATGAAAATGGACGGCAATTAACAATAATCTCAATTAATTCTTACTTGTTCTATGCAAAGCAAAGTCCATTTTATCGTATCCTACAAGATTCCTTACAGAACATCTGTAATATATCAACTTGTCTGTGGGAAGAACTCCAAGAACGCTTCTCAATGAAGTCGTATTTCTGACCTTCGCAATACTCAAGGGGATGGACTGCCATTTGTTGGGGTTTGGTTTGCACTCTTTGGAATCAACACAAGAGAGTACTTGATACTGCCACGTGAAGACAGGAGGTGGCACAGCACGTGAGACTTCACATTCCAACGTGTAAGGAGAATTCTTGGGAATTACTTGGTTTACAACGTCATTATTTGTCTTCTTTATCAAGGGTGGAACTAAAAAGCATTGAAAAAAGGCAAAGCTGAGTAAAAGATCTTGATTAATGCCAATACACTATGCATGACGTCACCAATCTAATGATGTCGGCATGTTGGGGCGACGTCATCTTCAAGGTTATGCGTCACGAGGCACGTTTTGTTTGTGTAAACACGAGCGTTAAGTCAAGTGGCAAATTGTATATATATTCCATGCTGTGTCACGAGAAAGCATCGTATCTCTTTTTTATGCCATACCAAAGAAAGTACATGATGTGAAAAACGAGGGGTGTATCGAAGATACGCAATGGCTTTCCAGCGTTCTGATTGGCTATATATTTTTATGGTGCACGAATAAGTAATGAATATAATCAACTTACCATGAACAGAAACATTAAATATTGCCTGTTTTTCCCCTGCCAGGTTTATAACTTTGATACGATATTCACCATTGTCGGCAGGATGTAAAGGGTCGACAATCTTGAAGGGTAAGACTGGTCTTGCACCCCTGTTTAATACGTCTATTCTATCATCAATCTCGTAGTTTGTTTCCTTTGATTGACATTTAAAGCTTTGACCACCACGACACGTTACTAGTGCTCGTTGTCCCTTGTACCAGGCTACATCGGGGAAGGGAGAGCCCAACACAACGACGTTGAACTGCAGCGGGTCGTGTTCCTTGATGGTCTTGAATGAGGGCGTGGAAAGGTTTGGCTTGTCAGAAGCTACAAGGACGGGAAGGTACAAAACAGTAAAAACAAAACAGGGATTATTACCATCTAGTATGAACGCCTTTTGGATAATAAACATAATCAGAAAATGATTACAATAACCATCATCACCATCACAACCATCAACATCATCATTATCATCATCATCATCACCATCATCACCATCACCACAATCATGAACGCCATCATCCTCACCATCTCCACAACCATCATCATGGGTAGCATGGGTTGCATGAGTTGTGTAGGCTGCTAACTCGTCGTCTTTCACCACTGTGAGTCCAACGGGTCGGGTCGCTAATTCGAGCCCTGCGGTCGCCACATGTGAATTAAAATTGCTTGGGGTGTTGTCCCCTCCCATGCTCGCTACGAGGGTTTTCACCGGGTTCTTCGGTTTCATTCTTCCGTTAAAATCAACTTATCAGTTCTGCGTTGTATGCATAGAACATTGAATGTAGTGATAGTGTGCGCGAGTGAAAAATTTCTTCAATTAGTGCGAAAGCACTAGGCACTTAAAAGAGATTTATCATCTTCGCCATCATCGCTCTTATCACCATTATTCATCATCATCATCACCACCATCATCATCACCATCATCACCACCATCAGATGTCAACATCACCAGCGCTTGTCTGTATTCACATATATCACAATTCACAATACGATATAACGCTTACGTTGTCACAAGTTTTTACCTTTAACCAGGATCTCAATGGTAGTATTGGCAACAGCACCAACCGAGTTGTTCTTACGGCACATGTACGTTCCCTCATCTTTCTGTCTTACATTAGAGAGTTTCAAATAAGCCCAAGTAACAACGTAACCGTCTTTATTTCGAATCGAAGGTGGTCCCTTTGTGACCAGAGTCAGTCTATTCGATCTCGAGTCAACCCTGTACCAATAGATTTCGCCCTCGTTGAATGACTCGCATGTTATGGTCCTATTGAACGATGTTTCCAGTTCAATGCGATTGGTCCCGCCTAACACATGGACACTTAAATCAAGCGTTAGGTCTGCAAGAGAATAAAATACGTATGGAACATTAAGGGGCTATTCTGGGTGGATGAGGGAGCTCGACTGTAATCAAACCCCCCCTAAACGACAACCTCTAACAAACCAATAAAAAATAAACAATAATCATTCAAAAGCATTTGATTTTTGACCAAACCTTTGAACCTAACTTGTTGACTTCCTTAATTATGCACATGTAAACAGACTTATTGGGGTGGCGGGAGATGAAGGAGAAAGGGAAAAGCCTCTACTACCCTTTCATTTTGTCTCGTACCCCTTCTGCATGCCTTCCCCGCAAAATCGAAACGTTACTCGAGCTTTATGTTCGAGTAAAGGGACAGCAAAAAATAAAACATAATTGATTTTAATCGATGATTACCATTAAGTAGTCTTTACACCTATTTTTATAATTACGAGAGCCAGGCAACTTGAGATAATTCGAGTTGTCTCGGTTTTTGGCTTCCGTCAAGGCCTGAGTTGGGCGCGTCTTGGACGCGAATTGGTCGCACGATTAAGTAAATGGTTGTGATTTTTTGATGATAATTTCATACATGCACTTTCTCTTACCCTTATTTACGTAAACGTTGATTTTTTTGGGATTTCCAACGCCACTAGCATGACACGTATAGAGAGCACTGTCTCCAATTTGAAGTTTTGAAATTGTAAATTTTTGTCCAACGAGCTTGACTTTAGTTCCATCAACCGTAACTGGATTTCCGCGTTTTTTGAGTTCAACAGGGATGGTGGGATCTGTTAGGCGGCAGTCGAAGACAAAAGAACCTTCAATGGGGGCATTCTGTCTAACAGGCAGGTCTGAGATCCAGGTCAATACCGGGGTGGTTGGTGTAGTGGCTGTGGAATATATGTACACAACTGTTTAAAATGGGGATACAATTTAGAAGCATGGACGAACGCAATATTGATAAAATAGTCAGAGACAAACAGTTGGAGAAACTGAGACATACAGACATGTAGAGTAATTTACGAACTGACTAAATACATGAGTGGCAGACAGACAGGATCGTAATCATTAATGACTGATTGACAGTCGACCTTCCGATCGACCGACCAACCGACCAACCGAC